TGCTTTGGCCCAGGGTTGTGTCTGGGGGAGAGTCACTTTATTTGTGGATTGACTTTTTGCAGAAGAGATTCTGATAAAAGTGAAGGTCCCTTTTAGATGTCTAGGACAGTTTTGGAGTTAGTTTTGAGGAATATTTTGTGACTCAGAATAAAGTTACATCAGGTCTTACTAGGAAATAATAGTTTTGGCCTGTAAACTCATGTTTTCTGCCAGCAAAGTTATGTTATTGGGAAGTTTTTGATATTTATAAAAACTGTAATCAAAGCTATTTCTCTGTCCTGCATAGTTAGTTTCATTTCATACAAAGATCAGTATTTGGTCTGACTGGGTGTTCAGTGTCACACATTTTAAAGGCTGCTTGAAAAGTGGCACACAGAGCAGCTGATGTGTCAGAAGTGCTGTACTACAACTTGCAGTCCTTTTCTTCCCACCTTTGTTGAATTCCTACTTCCATCAGAAAGTAGATGAAGATTCTTCCCATGTACTTGAGTGTAAAACAGATCTGGAATTCCTTCTTGCTTGAAGGTATGTTTAACATGGAAGCAATAGATGTGGTGTGAGGCAGCATCTCCCATTGTGGCAGTCAGGATTTCAGTGTGGCAGAAAATGGGAGCATCTCTCTGCGTGGGAGAAATAACTGTGTGTCAAAGGGATTTGGTACTTCTGTTTAGTGATGAAATGATGAGGAGTGCATGGGCAGTCATGGTGCTGCTGTTTCTGCTGGGCACTAAAGCTTGATAGTTGGTTCTTCTATGCTTCTCTGGGGTTTTAATTTTACTTACTGTGCCAAAGTAGTTGGAAGTCTGTCCTGAAGAGCAGACTGTTGTTTACACCTGCAGCATGTCTTTCTCGGACTTAAGTAACCAGAAAGTACTAGGACCTGTTATTTTTAACTGATCCTCTTCGTGTGCTGCATGATTTCAAGGGCTTTGCTCTGTGATGCTGCTGGATATTCAGAGAGTCCATTGGAAAGAACCAACCTCAAACACCTTTCTGCCCATTAGTAACTGTGACTCTTCAAGCCTTGGTGCTTTATTCAATGCAGTTCAAATCAAACGTTTGGAGATTCTGTTTTGTTAGGAAGTTTTAATTCTCAGCTTTCCCTGCACCAAATCCACAGTGCAACTCAAAAGGCAATAATGGGTCTGCGAAAGGAGTAACTTCCAGTGATTTATTATATTATTTACCCTAAATACTCTCTCGTCCTCTTATTTCCTTCACCTTTAGGAGTATGTGGGAGGAATGACACTCAAAGGTAATAAAACCTTTGAGACAACCTAATCAGTTAAGTCTTTTTTATTACTATTTCGTCTCTAACTTAGAACACAGATGTAAAGAACTGAAATTTTAAACTTTCAAACTTTTCTTTCAGGTTCTTAATTTTAAAGAAAAGGGGAATCCTGAGGAATTACTTATGTAGGTCTCAGGTATGTGGGTTTTTCTTTTCCACAATTCTTTTCTGGCTTTCCTTCCCCCAGTCCCACTTTATCTATAAATGTTCTCCTTGATGTCCTTACCAGTTCTGCTTTTGACAATTAGAATTAGATAACACATAGTTTTGGTACAGTAGTGAATCTGGAATCACATTTACAGTGTTTGTACGAGTCAGGCTCACAGGGAAAGCTGTAATGACTTAGTTCTTACACTGCCACCAAGTCGCTGCTGTTTCCTGAGCTGAGTTCTGGTTTGACTGTGACTGTTAACTCACACAGATATCTGACACTTCTGAAAACAGAGAGACTTGCAGATCTGCCCCTGGTGGTTACATATGTCTTAGTTTAACACTTATCATTCCTGAGATCATAGTAGATGTGTCAATTCTGTTGGACTGACTAAATTATCAGAGCAGTACCTCATGAAAGTGGCTGCATGTGGATCCAAGAAGCTACTTGCTGACTGAAATGTTTTCCTAGAGGGATAACACTGTAAATTTGATTTTCATGTATTCCTTGTTTTATACTGTACTAAAGCCTCATGTTATAGAATTCCTTCAGTTAAAAAATTAAGGACATCTCAATTAAAATGTTTATAGATAAAGAGGAGGAAGAAAAGAAAGCAAAGGAATTAGAGAAAAATGCAGTAGCAAGTACCTGAGACCTACTTGTTTTTGAGGATGTCTGAGCTTTTCTTTTAATTATTTGGGAAACTAGTGAACTCCAAAATGACATACTTGATTTTTTCGAAAACATTTTTTAGAGACGAACTAGTAAATAAAAAAGGTGGGAAGACTATCCAACGCATCCAGCAGTGTTTAGTCCTCTTACTGTGAAGCTGCCTGCACTTTTTGTATCGAGTGTATTCCAAACCATTCAGAGAGTCATTATTGTCTCTGGAAGGCCCTTTGCACTGGTGGCTGTGCTCAGGGCCTGGCTGTCCTGTGCAGGGTCTGTGCTTCAGGAGGTGCTCAGCTGTGTGTGCTGGGCCTGAGGCAGTGTGTGTCCTCTCCTTGGGGCTTGCTGTCCTCACTGGTAGAGCTGTGCTGCTGGGGAGACTCAGAGTCGGTGGTGCCTGTCTGTCCAGGCTGTGTGGGGACACCTCTGTCACCTCAGGTGCTTCTTCTGTATTGCAGCAGCACTGAGCTGTGTCACCAGGGCATTCTGTGGTGCAGAGCAGCTGTGCTCACAGTGGGAGCTCCTCAGGTGCACGTCTGCTCTCCCTCCCCAGGCATCTCCCTCCTCTTGAGTGGTTGTCAGTTTGCAGTAACAGATTAGAGGTTCAGTATCTTCTTAGGTGCTTCGCTGGTAATGCTCAGTAATTTTAAATTCATCTCACCAAGTATTTTGCATAGGAAGTTCCTTGTAATTTAGTAAATCCTGTGCAGCCACACTTCTGACCTTGGAAATGCTAAGAGCTGTTATGGATTCTAGTTATTTTTCAGTTTTGTTCGCATGTTCCCCAAAGAATTTCTAGACTGGCAGTCGGGAAGGGCATAATAGTTTAAACAGGAGTATTTGTTTTCATTTCCTTGGGTTTGTGTAGCAAAATCCCTCATTACTGCTGACATAATTACTAGTACTATTCAGCAGTGTCTGACATTGAGAGAAGACAGACAAACCCACCAAAAGTTAAATGGGAGGAAAACAGGGCTTAAAGAATTTCTACTACTATAGACATCAATTTCAGTGTAGACCTCTGTTTTAGTACTTCTCAGTGCCCTTACCTGTAACTGCTGTGGAATCTGTGTTTCCTGTTCTGTTTGCAGCTGCAGTTTTCTTTAATCTCAGTCAGGGAAAATCCATCACATACACCTGTGGTTGGTTTCTGTGGGAGATACAAGTCAGGAGAGGTAAGGGAAAACAAATAGTAAATAAAATCCCCTTAGAAGCTGAGAGCAGTTGAGGGTGTGTATGGTCCTCAGTTCTGTGACTTGTTAATCTCTGTATTTAATTCTTTAACTTTCCAAGTTCAAGGTTTACCAGAACCAGGTTTCCTTTCCATAAGGAGGAATGGGAACTGAATGATACCAGCAGTTCACAGGACACAAGGCTGTAGAGCCAGGAACAGGCACCCGAGAGAAAGCAACTCCATTCTCACAGCAGCTGTTTGTAGTGAGCATAGAGTAACGTCAAAGTAGTGGACATGTCTTTGAAACGCCTGTTGTAAAGTTGCATAGTCCTGGGGTGTTTTTTACTGTGCAGTAACTTGGTTAGTCACTCTGCAGTAATGGAGAAGATCTTCATCAAGTCCTGGCCAAGGGAATAAATGTGTAAGGTCCAAAGTCTTAAAGAGCAGTGTTGCTTGGCATTTAGAATAGTTCTGGAGGGAGCAGTTCCTAAGAGCAATTAATTTCATTTAAGATTCCTTCTGAATCATACATTTTAAAGATGAGCAGCATTGTTTGTTAATTGTGTGGGTGTGGGATAGCTACACCTGCATTATTTGTGTGGCTCCAAGCGCAGGAGTGGGATGACTACAGAGACTGAAAATAGATAGAAAATCTGTGTTTCCAAGGAAATTAAATTGCAGACAAAAAGATCTGAAAGCTCCAGCACATACAGGTCTTAAAGTATCTCCTAGGACAATAAATACTCAGTTTGCAAGTGGGAGGAGTCTGTAGCTGAGGCAAGCCTGGCTATGGAGTTGGGTTGAGCATGCCGAATTTCCTTCTACAGTGCTGTTCTGTCCAGGATTATGGTGACAGTGACTGTGAGAGGTGTTCAGGAGTCTCATTTTGTTTTCTCAGGTAAACGCAATTGAGATTTTTTTCTCAGTAGAAATTAGATGTTGTAGGAAGGATAAAAGACGATGTTGTGAAAGGTCTTCCAAAGGGGCAGTGTGGGCCAGTGTTTTTGGCTGAGTAAAGCAGACGAAGGATTGTGTTTCAGTTCTGAAGTTTTCAGATGGATGTGTTTGTGCATGGGTTATCTCAGGTGTCTGGATAAACATGGGACCTGCCAGCTTAAGGGAGAGGTGTTGAGTCTGCTCTTAGGTTATTGCTTGTGGAGACACAAAACAATCCTCTGGAAGGTGTGGCTGAACAGGCACTAGTTCTCTGGAGCTTCACTTGGAATGTAGTGCTTGTGCAGTGTCAGTAAAATGTATTTCACACCCAAAACATCTGTTGGAGATCTTACCGGAAAGAAAAGGGCAAGTGTGAGACACTGTTTCTTGCCTTGTTACTGGTGGTAATTTGTGTGCCCTCTCTGAACTAAACCACTTCAGTGGCCTGACTTCTGAAGTAACAGCACTAAGCATGTACTCCTGAGGGACTGGACCCTTCCTGGGCATGCTTCTTTGAGTGTCTTTAATTCTGTTACTGTTTCCAAAGTACATTGAGCTGAAGGTGGTCAGACTTCCACTGGTCTCTTAATATTTATCATGATCTGAAATACTTGATAGTCCTTTGATGCAAATTGTCTAATAGTGATTTCTCTGTATTTAGTTTGCAGTACCTTGGGTAATCAAATTGGAGGAAGGACAAGCAAAAATTCAGAATGATTTTTGTTTGTTTTTAAGGGGGGTTTTTTGCTTAGTTGTCTGAGATGATTTTTCTGTTTCAGAATGAACACAGTGATGGAGAAGATGATGGGCAAGTGGGAGAGCATCATATGACAGACTCTGAAAATGAAGATAACCCAAGGCAAAAAGACAGTGACTCAGATAATGAGGAGCCTCCAAATCACCACGTGAGTGATTCGGACAACGAAGCAGCTCCTGGAGGGAAGGACAGTGACTCTGATACCGAGGACCGTCCAAACCAGCATTTAAGTGACTCTGAAAATGAAGAGGCCTTAAATCATCGAGCGAGTGACTCTGACAATGGAGAAGCTCCCAGGGACCCCAGCAGTGATTTTGAGAACGAGGAGCTGCAGAAGCAGGCAGGCAGTGACTCTGAGAATGAGGAGCTGCAGAAGCAGGCAGGCAGTGACTCTGAGAACGAGGAGCTGCAGAAGCAGGCGGGCAGCGACTCGGAGAGCGAGGAGCTGCGCAAACAGCCGGCCAGCGACTCGGAGAGCGACTCCAGGCACAAACACATAGAGTCTGAGGACAGTGACACGGAGGACAGGAAGGAGGAGGTGCAGAATGATTCTCATCACTCGGATAATGAACATGCAAGGGAAGGATTTCAGGGCTCTGACAGCGAAGATGAAGCTCCTAAAAGACGTAAAATATCAGACAGTGATGAAGATGAGAAGGAGGAGAAGACAGTGAAGAGGAAAACAGCCATCCTGTCTGACAGTGAGGATGACAGTGAGAAAACACGTAAGGAGCTGTAGTGTGAAAATGTGCTGTAACAGGCAATGGTGGGAAAGTTAAGTCATTGCTTTTGTGTGAGTAAAGCACCTGCGTGTGAAACCGTGGACTGGATTTGGCTGTGAGCACAGCTGCAGTCGTAGAGGCTGTTCTGCCTGCTTTGCTGTGTGAATGTGTAGCTAATAACTGAGCAATAAGCAGCTCAAACAGAACTCAGGAAAGACTGCAGTGATCGTGCTTTATACTGGCATCTGTTGTCATGACAGTTATTTCTCTGTTGTTATTTCTCTACCCATATTTTCGTGTTTTTTTTTTTCTTTCCTCATATGCTGGGGCAAGAGTCAATTTTGAAATTACAGTTTGTTTATGGAGAGATATGGCGTATGGAAGCTTCAATTGCTGATTGAATAAACCAGAGTTTAGAATGGATATGCTTTTTAAGAAATGGCAATGATTTTGTGTAGGAAGACTAGTCAAGGAATTGTTTTTTGAGAGTACCAGTTGTCCCCTCTGTTTCTGGGATGTAGTAATGCTCCTTTCTGTTGGCAGCAGCAAAAAAGGTACGAATCCTTTCTGATGTGGAAGAGTCAGACAGTGATGCTGCATCAGAGAAACCTGACAAAAGGAAGAAAAGTGTTGTATCGGATAGCGAGGAGGAAGAAGAAGAGGAAAGCAAAGAGAATGCTGGGAAGAAAAAAGAAGAGAAAGATCTGTTTGGCAGTGACAGCGAATCTGGAAACGAGCAAGAGTAAGTGTTTCTGGGAGTAGGAATTCCTTGGCGTTTTAGGGAGTGATGGTGAACCCCAACCAGAGAATGGGTGTCCACCTTTAGTGGTGGTGTGAAGAGGAAGGTCAGGAGGAGGAAGCAGAATGAAAGGAGGATCTCCACATGGTCACTAACATTTTGCCAAAAAGGCACATCTCACTGTTGGAGTCCAGAGAGGTAAATGTTGCTCTTACCTCCACAGGAACCTGATTGCAGATATATTTGGAGAATCTGGTGATGAGGAAGAAGAGGAATTTACGGTAAGTGTTATTGTGGATGTCTGTTCACTGGCCAGATCTGATCTGGTAATGTATATGCTGTGTCAGATCAGCTTTGTATCTGCTGGGCTCACTGGGGTAGTCTTTGCGTTAAATAACATCTGCAGCTCTTCTGTTGGGAGAGTTCTTGCTGTGACAGTCACAGGTGGAATTAGAAAGACTTCGGTCTTCTTTCCTGGTACTCTGCAGACTTACCTGAAGCTTTTTGAGCATCAGGTACCTGAGTAGGTGCTCTCTCTTAATCCCTACACTGATTTGCACTGTCTTCACCCATCAGGGTTTTAACCAGGAGGATTTGGAGGAAGAGAGAGGTGATGGAGACATGAAGGAGACAGCAGATGAATCAGACTCTGACGATAACATCAAGAGAGGGAAACAGTAAGTTAAAGTGTTACATACTCCTTTCTTAATGCAAGATTTTGGTGAAAGAGCTCCTCTAAAATCTGCCCGGACTTCTTAACTTGGAAAGGGCTGGCCCTGTGTTTCTGCATAGAGAGTGTTCTCAGGAACTTGGACAGAAGGTTCTGCCTCAGCTTGTGCAGTTTAGTCACTGGCAGTCCATAGCAGACTACCTGTGCTGCTGCCCCAGAGAACAGTATTTCATGGTTCACATCAAAACCTGAGTTTCAGCAGTTCAGTCTTGCGGTCACAGGTGTATTTCTCTGCTGGGGCAACACTTGCCATCAGCATGTGTCTTGTGTCCTTTCTGGCTGCTCCAGCAGTATCAGAGCAGTGTGCTGCAGGTACAGGAAAGCTAAATCTTCATCAGCTGCAGTGACAGCACATTTTGAACCTTGGATGTTGTGTGAGCACGTGTTGCTGTTGCAGCAGGAACTGGCAGATGTCTGAGGGCATCTCAGAGCCATGGGAGCCCTTTGCTGGTTTCCATTTGCATACTGAGGATAACTAATTCTCTCATAGGGACCTTGAGACTCAGTTCCTGTAGGAAGGTTACACTACAGAAATGCACAAGTATTTCTTAAAAAGACAGGGCCAACAGCTAACTCTTCCCTTGCTTTTCAGCATGGACTTCATGTCAGATTTTGACATGATGCTGCAGCGGAAGAAGAGCATGAGTGGCAAGCGCCGGCGGAACCGTGATGGTGGAACCTTCATCAGCGACGCGGATGACGTGGTCAGTGCTATGATTGTGAAGATGAATGAAGCTGCTGAGGTGAGTTCTGCAGGCTCTGAAGACATCTAAATGATGGTAGAGCAACAGAGTCATGGGAAGTTCTGCCTTGAGAATTTCCTGCCTTTTTCAGGGAGAAATGTTTGATGTGTTACTGTGCAAAATTTATTGGAGTTTGCCTTTTGTGTCAGGTATCTTGTGTTGTTTAGCAGTCAGATTAACAAACAACATGGCAAAGTGCATTACACCAACTGGGAGAATGTACAGAACATTAGAGAGGAACTTGCAAATAGCAGCAACAAAAAAGTCATCCTGAGAACAAGATCAGAAGGATAATGAGTTCAGGAGGACAGGGAGAGTGAGAGTGATCTGGGAGATAACTGAGACTTCCTTGGTCTTGACAAGGAAGTCTTCCCTGGGCCAGGTGACAGGCAGGTGCTTCAGATGAAGCAGTAATGTTTGAAATCTGGGCCGTGAAGAGGAGAAGAGGTGCATTAGAAGAATCTCCTCTGTTGTGCAGGAAGAGCCTTTGGTGGATTAAGATGAGTGGAAAGAAATTACCTCAGCAGGACAGAAATCTGTTGATTGCTCTGGGTGTTTTTGATATGGGAGCCAAGTGCTGAACAGACAGTGACAGTAAGGCCTTGGATTATAGTAATTTTGAAAACCATAGCTGCAGTGAATATACATGTTCTCTCTTCCCATGGTTCTGGTTAGCTATTCCTCTCTTGTTCTGGGGAGGTTTTGGTAACAGTGCTGAGGTGATCTGTGTATAGTATGGAGGACTCTGAAGACTTCCAGTTACTGCAGTCAATCTACATCATGAAGTACAAAGCAGTTTCAGTTGGGGGGTACTCTTCAGTGTGATGCTTGTGAAGAAAATGTTGACTGAAGTGGAGATCCTGTTTTAGGACAAGTCATCAGGTGATGTGACTTTGTGCTGTGTGAGGTTGGAGCTGGGTACAAATTTAGTGTCATCCTGCCAAAATGGCACTTCTCATTCAACAGACTAATCTTTTCCCTGCAAATCTTGTAAAGAATGAGAGTTGTTAATTTCTTTCTGTGATAACTTGTGCTGATTCTCCAACTCTCTGCAGGAAGATCGGCAGCTGAACACACAGAAGAAACCAGCACTAAAAAAATTGACTTTGCTACCAACTGTAGTTATGCATCTTAAAAAGTGAGTTGTCATTCTTCCAGTTAATTGTCACCTTGGGGAGTATTCAGAACTTGGTAGATTTTGTGGAGTGACACTACAACTGTACTATATGTGCAGTGAAACACCTTTTGGCTTCCAAGTAAATGCTGGAGCTGGATGACCTCAAAAACCTAAAACTATACATAATTTTGCCTGTTAATTTAGCAAGAAACTAGCTCAAATGCACTGTTGTGCTGAGGGAACATCACATCTTAAGATTGTGCTGAATTACATGACTTTGGGGCTTCTCTTCAAACTTTCTAGGCAGGACCTCAAAGAAACTTTCATCGACAGTGGTGTTATGTCTGCCATCAAAGAGTGGCTTTCTCCTCTGCCAGACCGCAGTCTGCCGGCACTGAAGATACGGGAGGAGCTTCTCAAGATCCTGCAGGAGGTTTGGAACTGACTTTTAACCATACTTGATTCGTGGCTCCTCTGTGGTTTTACAGTCATGTGCCTTAGGGAAATGCTTGGTGAGAAATGAAACGTAAATGGTGTGATTTGGTGTGGCAAATGTGCAGTGGAACACACCAGGAAGCAAAGTGCAGAGCAGATGTGTTCATGTAAAAGAATTGAGATAGTTTGGCCTTGCCTGTTTGAGGTTTATAGGCAAAGTTTAGTGAAGAGTCATCTGCTGTGTATCCCTGGATTTTTTTCTCCTGTGGTCCCTCCTCTTTTCCAGCCTGTTGCAATATGCAGTGCCCATCACACTCAGGGTAGGCTTTGTGTCTGTAGCTAAGCTGATGGTGTCAATGCTTTGCCACCTAAGTGTTTATAAAATGAATGCTTTGAAGGCAGCAACTCAGTTTTGGGGTAGTATAAGCTAAAGAGCATTTGGAGTAAGAAGTTCTGTAAACTTACATAATGATTTTGGTGTTTGATACTTTAAACAATTCCTAGTGGGACAATGAGAAAAATTAATTAACTCAAATAAATGCAAATTTTGGTGACACTGTTAATGTTCGGACATAATTTCTTGCTGTTTTGTGACTTCTCCTTTACCTGCAGCTGCCCAGTGTGAGCCAGGAGACCCTGAAGCACAGCGGCATTGGTCGGGCTGTGATGTACCTCTACAAACACCCCAAAGAGTCCAGGCCCAACAAGGACATGGCAGGGAAGCTAATCAGTATGTAAAGCTGCTTCACCTTGTGTCTCTGGGGTTCCACTGATAATGGAATTCCTGCATCAGTCTCTGGTGGACTTATTTTGCTATCAGCTTTAGAACTCTGCAGTGGAGGAACCTCACTGATCTGTCTGTTCCTAAACTTCTGCTTGCACTATGTCCTGTTTCTTTCATTCTTGCCCTGAACCAGAGGGTGGCATTTATTTTGCCCTGTTGGCTCATCGTCCAGATCTCATGCACATGCTGCAAAGGCAGGAGGATGCTGCCAGAGGACTGTTTATTCCAAGGGCTTTAGAGGGAACTTGGCTGACTGAAAGTCAAACAGCTGTGCTCCATATGGAGTGCATTCCATCCTGAATGGCTGCAGACTGATGATAAACTGCTGTCTGTTCTTCAGGAACTCTCATGCATGTCTCTAAAATAGCATTGGTGTGCAGGGGCTCCTGACACTGAGTACTGTGTACTAGAGCTCAGAGATTGTACAAGAGCAGGCAACAGCGAGAGGCTGTAGGGATGAAAGCTCTCCTGTCCACAGGGGTGGACTTGCATGAAGTCAGGTGATCCAAAATCATGTGTTTGGTTGAAACGAAGCATAAATACTTGCCATAAACTTGGTCACCAGTGTGGTGTGAGCTCAGCTGCAGAGGCCTGGCTTTGTTAACCCATTGCTGCTTTCTAACAGATGAATGGTCTCGACCCATCTTTGGCCTTACCTCAAACTACAAAGGCATGACCAGAGAGGAGAGGGAACAGAGAGATTTGGAACAGATGCCTCATCGAAGGAAATTGAGCAGGTACAAGGAGCAGCAGATTGTCTTTTTAAATTGCTGTCTGTGTGCATAGACATCTATAAAATTTTGGTTTTCTTACAGCTCTGGTGGTCAGACTCCTCGCAGGGACCTGGAGAAAGTCTTAACTGGAGAGGAGAAGTAGGTTGGATTTTTTTTCCTTTAAAAAAATTGATGAAAGCATTTGAGTGGTTACTACCAGTATGGAATTTGAGCAGAGGTTTTGGAGGCAGTGGTTCTGCAGTGTGTGTCAGAGGAGAACACACTATGGTTTTGTGTAAGATTTGTGTGTAACAGTCACATGCTTTGCCTGCAGGGCCCTGCGGCCAGGGGACCCAGGGTTCTGTGCCCGTGCCAGGGTGCCCATGCCCTCCAACAAGGACTATGTGGTCAGGCCCAAGTGGAACGTGGAGATGGAATCCTCCAGGGTAAGCACTGGCACTCTCCTGTTGGCTGCCTGAGCCTGGGGGGCTGTCACCATACTGCTCTGGTTACTGTACAGTAGGGTAGTTCTTTTAAGGGCCTCTTCTAATTAGAGTCAACAGGAAGTTCTCTCTCTGGTGAGCTGTTCTAAGCTCATCAGATATTTTCTCCCAGGTATTGCTTCTCTGACCAAAAAGAGATTTTGGAGTTAACTGTTGCAGAGTTTTTCTCTAGGGTGAGAATCTGATGACAGGCCTCTTGCTTTAGAGCATTTTGAACTGAAACCTGCAGTTCAGTACCTGTTTCACAGCACTGATAGTTTTGTACTTCTCCCAGCTTTTGCATCGTGTTTGGTAACATTCCAGTTTGGGAAACCTGCAAGGTTTTGGTAAACGTGAAGAGCTAGAGTGGAGGCCTTTGTGTTGCTTTATGTGGTTCATTCATCTACCCTGTACCCTTAATTTACGAGCAGTGAAGGTGGTAGAATATGTGTAAATAGAAGTAGTAACAATTGCTGTGCTTTCTGCTGTTCTCTCTCCTTCTGTGCATTAATTGAGATGTTGTTTCTAGCCCGGGACTATTAAGAGAGGTATTAGTCGCTTGGAAAAGCACAAGAGACGGTTTGCTGAACAGAAACGACTCAGCAAAGTGCATCGGGCCATCAAGTTCAGCATTGAAGGCAACAGGATGCCCCTGTAGCCATGCCACTGCCTTCCCAAGTTGGAGAGGTATCCCTCGAGGGAGGTGTGAACAGTGCATGTGCTTCAGCTGTTGGCAGTTTGCACATGCAGCACAGGAGTGTGTACACCCTAACCTAACCCTGGAAAACTCTCCTTGTATTCTCTCGTGACTGTACTGTGACCTACAAGGGAACTTGTACAGGAGAAAACAGGCTGTAGCACAGAACATCTGCCTCCACAGCTTCAGGGTACCTGAAGGACAGGTGTTAAATGAAAATACCTGTGCTCAAACCCAGCTTGGCACCACCTGTGGTTTCAAATGCTGTTCTGACACAATTAGGTTTTCTGGGTTTACCTGAACTGACACACAGGAATTCTTAGCCCTGGATACAGGACCTCGTGTCACTGCACGCCAGTGTTTGTGGCTGACTGTGCCTGGTGCACAGGGAGGTGCTTCTCACACCTCCTGTGTGTCAGGGGAGCAGAGTGATGTGAGACCTGGGTGGTTGATGGGAGGCAGGGAATGAGAGCAGGGAGAAGAGTCCCCTGCTGTGAGCACGGGGTGGGAGGACACTCCTCGGAGTGAGAATTGTCCTGCAGTTCTGGTCTGTACTGTGGCACTGTGGGCAGGTCTGCCACGAGCTGACAGTGACAGGAACAGGCGAGCACAGGGGGTAGATAACTGTTTAGTTTAAGCTTCATATTTATTTGTTGAAAAAAAGGTATATTTTTCTTAAAAACCACTGTGAAATCTCAGCTATCATTTCAATGACTAGTGAACAGTTTTATGAATAAAGTTTATTTCCAATCAGTGTGTCAGGAGCACCTTCCTCAGCCATGGGAACGAGTTGCTTAACCCATGTGTGCTGTCTGATACTAAGTAGCATGATGTTGGGTATATGTTTCTCCCCAACCCAAAAGGTGTGACGTTTGCATCACTTACTGTTTGTTGTCTAGTAAGGGGAGATTGCCTCCTAGGAAGTTCTGGCTCTGGCTTGGAAAGTCCTTGTCTTCTGTGGTGTTTTGTTGCAGATTCCCTGTATTTTAACCTGTGCAGAGTAACTGCTGCATTGCCTGGTTTTCATTTGCAGTTCCAATAGAGATGAAATGCAATAACTTTGAATAGCTTATATAGTCAGCTTAGGCATTTCCTTTCCTTCCTCCTCCACCCCCTTCTCCCCAATAATCTCTCACTCTATGACCTTTAAAACAAACAGCAGTTTGGAACTGGTGTGTGAGCCTCAGTCACAGTGCAGCAGTGTGTGATCTCTGCCCAGGGAGCTGCTCTGGGTGACACTAGTGCACTGTGGTTCTGACACAGCTCCAGCCAATAGGTACAACACTGTTCAGGCTGTATCCTGCTGCCAGGGTGACTGTCCCTGCAGGGTGTGGTGGCTGGGGGTGCCTGCACAGCCCCAGAGCTGCTGTGACCTTGCATGCGCCACTCGCCTCGGAGCTCTGGGGTGGCCTTTGTCAGTGGTAATTATTAGTTTTATTTTTTAAGTTCCAGGGGTCCTCTAAGAAAGGGGTGAGTCGGCTGGACAAACAGATGCGGAAATTCACAGATATCAGGAAAAAAAGCAGATCGGCCCATGCAGTGAAAATCAGCATTGAGGGCAATAAGATGCCATTGTGACCCTTCACAGAATGCCCCATGAGCTCTGCTGTAAGACAATACACCCATAGACTCTTCAGAGATCTTTTCGTTTTTTTAACAACTCGTTTGGGGTTTGTTTTATTTTTTTAGTGAATCTTTTAAGTTGTTGGTTCAGGTTCTGGTAGAAGATGTTGTCTGAGGACTGTGAATATGGGGACTTCTCCTGATTGTATTTAAACTGGCCCTGTTGTGTTCTTTGTACAGATCATGTATTTGTTGTATTGCAACACTTTAGACAATAAAACCTGTTTTTTTGGGGGGGCTGCCTGTTGATTGCTCAGGGGAGTGTACATGCAGACTGCCTGAAGTGTGGAAGGGCTGCGAGTGGTTAATTTTCTGTTCACCATTGTCCAGTTCCTCTCTATTCAGTGCTTCATTAAGCAGATTTTTGCTTTTGGAGACCTACATGCATGCTCTTGGTTAGAAATACTGACCATTTCCCACACAAAGGATTTCATTCCTTATGGAAACTGATGCAAAGTTCAGAAGACCAGCAGACCAACCACTAAAACTTCAGCAGCTTCCAGCTAAAACGTCTCTGCAGCTCACTAGTGACTTTCCAAAAGGTTTGTTTTTCCAGGGGAAGAAGATTCCTGCCTCTTAGGGAGAGAATCCTGCTGGTTTTCATCCCTGCTGCTGCAGAATGACAGCAGAGCAACATCTGGTACCTCTGCTTCTTACCTCTACCTCTGAAGATGTTTGTCTCTGCTGAGCTTGCCTACAAGAGAGAACTCCTCCTTGCATGGACAACTGACAGTTGGAATTTCTTCAGTAAGAAAGTTTCCTTCCTTCTGGAGGGGCAGAGCCTGTTTGCTGTGATGTGTTCTGTGGCTCGGGGAAGTCTTTGAGGTGGGGAATCCTGGTGTTGGCTGAGTTACCATGGCACCAGCAAGGGCGAGAAGGCAAATGTGTGGAGGGTCATGTGTTAAACGTCTTCAATGTGTCTCCTGAGCCTGGGGGGAGTGACAGTAACCTGGAGCTGTGCTGAAGACACAGACTGGAAGCAGGAACTAGAGGAAGATGCCTGTGCTGGGTGGGGCACTCGAGGAATTCTGCTCCTAAGACAACTTCACCTACTTTCTCCAGGTATTCTGTTGACACTAACCACCTCAGGTATGTGGTTTTTTATCATGCTGAGAGCTTCATGGGTTTAGTTGGGCTTTTTTCTATTTTTAATTAAGAAGCCAGGGCATTCCTCACTGCCATCAGGTGCAACTGGTGAACTGTGTGAGCTGTTCATAGCCAAGGGCTCTTTGGCCCTGAAGGCCCAGGAGTTCAAATGGATTCTTTCTTCTTCCTCTAACGTTTTTTTGTAGGTCTGGTGCTAGTCTGCTCCCGCAGCCATGGGGGACAGTTTTTAAGTACTTGAAGTACTGACCCTGGTGGTCTTGTGCAAGGCTTAATACAAAGTCATCCTATCCAGATGAATCATACTAGCTCCTACATGTTCTCTGAGGCAAACACAAAGGTTCTGTTTCTTGTGGAATGGTAAGTGTTGGGGGTTTGTTACTAAAACTTCGTGGTGACTTGTAAGAAAAAATGTCTTCCTGATAGGAATTTACATTCAGAAAAGCTGATTTGTCTCCTCCTTTGTTATTTGCAGGTAGTTCTTTATTAGACAAAAGTATTTTACTCAGCAATAGTTGAGTGAGCTATTTAACCATCTCTCAAAATTTCTCTGAAGGTAGTGTTAACTTTACACCATTAAGGACAGGAATAGACACAGTGGCATAGGCTGAAACACCGCACTAGTGGAATCATTCCTGTTTTTAAGGATGGCTTTAAGAAAAGTTAATGGAGAAGTTTTCTGAGTCTGCTACACTCTCCACCACCTCTTTAATCCAGGCGATGTAGTTGGCTACTCGGGTGTAGACGCCGTATTTCCCCGGGGCCCCGCAGCCCTCGCCCCAGCTGACGATGCCCAGGAGAAACCAGGTGTTGTGGTGGGGCACGGCCAAGGGG